GAAGGGAGGAGGCCCAAAGAAGCCTCTCATGTTTGGGGCAGACTGGATGATAACTGAAGGACAGAAGGCAGAGCGGCTCAGCTCTCAGGCTGCCCTCTTCTCTGCTGAGGAAAACAATCTTTGGACTGGAAAACACAGAACAAAAATGGGGCAGGGAGATGACAACAAGTGTGAACAGGGTGATAGTGACAGCCCATGCTGCCCTGGAGCAATTCAAATCATCAGGCCCAGGGAGTTACATCCTGGGGTGCTGAAATAAAAGCAGCAATTGTTTCAGTCTTTGTATCCATACCTCCCTGTACCTGGCACAGTGCCTGGCTGCTCACACGTGTGGGCACTTGATAAAATTTGAATGATTGATTGCCAAGTCAGTAATCTTTATAACATTGAGGATAACCAGAAGATTAGAAAACGGCAAATGGCCTGATTTTTTTTTTTAAGGAAGACAATGTAGGCAGCAACTCTAGGCCAGGGAGCCTGCCTCCAATTCCTGACAAAATTCTAGAAGCCGATGATGAAAAAGGAGGTTAGCAAACACCACCTCGAAAAGGAAGTGCCTTGCTGAAGGACGGCTCATCGAGACATGTCTGCATGACGACTCACATTCCATAAACAAAAACATGAAAAGGCGGCTGATGGGCCAGAACTACCTATCTTGGCCCCCAGAAGAGAAAATGAAGCCACTTCCCCAATCTCCCCTCACCCATGGACCTCTCCTCCACAGAGGCAGGGTGCTAACAAGCCATCTTGTGGCTTACAAGACCAAAGGTAGCTCTGCTTTGTTAGTTTTCTTTGTGATGGGGAGACCAGAGGATGTCAGACGGTGCAAAATGACAGTGTATAACCATGTCATGCCAGCCCTTTTTACCCTCTTCAATAGGGTGACTAGCATGGTGGATGAGGGCACACTGAAGACAGCTTACTGAGATTCTGCATGAGGTGTCAGAGTATCTTGTCCTACTCTTGTGAAAGTGATGGTGATGTCAGGCTGGAGGGCTCACTCCAGAGGACAGTCATTAAGGTGCAGGCCTGACTTGGAAGGAGGCCCCCCCTCCGCCCCCGAGATCTCGGCATCATTCATCAGTGCATTTGCTTTGACACAAAGTTGGGAGGAATAATTAACACTCTACATGAAGTTAGAATCCAAAAAGATCTTGGTGAAATTGGACAAATGTGGCAAACTGACTAAGATCATCATAGTTCTTATTTATATTTATGAGCTTAGTTATGCTTATATTCATACGCTTGATGCTGTGCAAAGCGCGGTCTGCTCACATCTTTTCTCTCGCTCACGCTCCTCACAACCTTGGAAGGCAGGTGCTATCAAGCCCATTTTAGAAAGCGAGAAGCTGAGGGTCCAAGAGGTGAAGATGAAGTCACAGATGACAGGATTTGAACACTGACCCTCCTAACTCTAAGTCGGGAGCTCCGAAGGCTACAGTGTTTCTCAGGAGACTGAAGCTAAAAGTGTAATGGGTAAAAATGTGGAGTTTCACACTGAGGTTGTAAAAACTGATTTCAAAAGTACAAGATGGGGGCAATGTGGTCAGGAGGCAGCTCACAGGAAAAGGTCCTTCACAAAATGCAGACTACACCAGAGTCCGTCACGAGGGCGGCCCCACAGTACCTAAAGCTCACGCAGCTGTGGACCACACCAAGGGGAGCAGCACATCCAGGAGAGGGGGAGGCTCACCGTCCCAGTGAGGAAGACCAGGCTCAGGGCACGGAGCCGCCCTTTGGGAGGGACCCCGATGAGGAAGAGGCACCCACGGCAGGAAGGATCTCAAGTTCGTCCAGTTCACCCAGGACATAGGGATGTTCCTGTCCTCCAGCATCCCAAGGAGGACTGGACTTGGTGGGCTTGAGACCAGGAGAAACTTCCTAATGGTTAAAGGCGTCCAAAAGTGGCCGCAACAGCTTGGGAGAAAGCTCCCTCCATGGGACGCCTTCAAGCAAAGGTTGCCCGAGCGTCTTTGGGGACGTGTTTGGTCAGACCAAGGCCGGACTGGCTGGCGTCTGAGGTCCTTTCCCGCTCAGATTCAGAGCAGAAGAGAGACCTCTGTCTCCTCAGGAACACAGGTGGTGTTAGGGTTACAGTGAGTTGGGATTAGAGAGGTAGAGTATTCTGGTGAGAAAGAGGGGGAAAGGGGAAGGCACTGGGGAGAGGAGGAGACAGCAGACCTTCCCATCTTCGTGACTGGCCTCTGTCTTCTCTACACAATCTCCAACTCTGTCACAGAGGATGACCTCAGAAAGCCTACCCTCTTGGTTCCTCCAACTCAGCTCCCAGGACTCCAATCTCTCATCTACCCAAACAACCCATGGGGATAATTCTACCCTTGGACTTCACCATCTCTCCAAACTGTTCCATCTACAGTCCTGAACTCTGGAATTCCCCTGACCACAAATATCCGGTCCTCCTACGTCTTCATTCTAACCTCTGGTCCCGCCGTCCTTCCCCTGTGTTTTCCCAGAATCCTTGCTGTGGATTCTCCCCTCCCAACCTCAAGCCAGTCACTAGCTTTGCCCATATACAGTTCACTCTTGAATCTTCCGGCCCACTTTTTCATGCTTTACTAATAATTGCCAACCTTGGACAGCTCCTACCACCTGCCTTCCGTGCTTCTCTGCTCGCATCACTGAACGTGACTGGAATAAAACCCTGAGCTCATTCACTGGGTCCACCACAAATCCACGGGTCCTCAGAGATGCACGTGGCAATTTTTTCCCTCATCTCTACTCAGCTCCCTGTTGAGCCATCTTCAGCGGTCCTGAGCTACGCCTGGCCACAGGCGGCTCCACAAGTGAAGGGGAGGCTGGCGACTCGGCACACTGAAGTCCAATTCACTCGCATGTCACAGCATCGCCTTCCTGAGGTCTCGGTTCTCTTCGAGAACGAAGGGCAAACAACAGCAACGACAAACTTCCTGTTACACTGCTCGCCACAGCCAAACTGGCCACTTACAATCACAGACGTGGAACTAGAAGGGGCTGAGAGGAAACTGAGGCCGAGAGAGGCGCAGCCTCACAAAGCAGGGTGCAAACTCATCTTGCTGACTCCAAGCCCAGGGCACCATACTTTGTGGCCCAGAATTTGAATTCCATTTAATTCAATTCAATCCAGGAAGCATTCTTAATGAAGTGCCTGTTATGTCAGGTACTATGCTCATTCCACCAGTGGGGGGGGAACTTTTGGGGCAGAAACTCCTTTTCCTGAGGTGGATCAGGAGCTCAGTGTGGGACCTAGAGGTGGGGAGTTTGGGGCCAGAGGCCCTGAGATGGCACACAGAGCCAGCATACTGGGAGGGGCGGGGCTGGAACGCCCACCCTCCTGTCCGCAGAGGCAGCCCTCCATCCACCACGCCACGCTAAGGGACTCTTCAGATGTCTGAGGTCCGAGGCAGCAGGAAAGGATGTGCTACTTTTCCATGGCAAGGCACCTTCTCCAATTCCACCAGAGAACTCTCAACAGAGGCCCAACTCTTGACTGTCAAGTTCTCTCTTGAGGGGACTGTGTCAGCAGAGCAGTACCTGAGTCTCCACACAGCGGGTCATGTAGACACCACTGAGCGTCTCAGCAGGGCTTCTTGGCCTCGATGACCACACGGACTCCCCTGGCAGTCTAGTGAGGTCAACACCACCGACAAACCCATTAAACGCTTAGGCAGTGAGGAAAACAGAAGAGTGTATGCATGTGTGCATGCACACTATACACACACACATGCCTATACATACATGTATGCACATCTCATATGTGCTTCTGTTTGTGCATGCACACTCGTGAATATATGTATACTGCATGTATGTGCACACAAGAATGTAATCAGATTTCTGCACTGGAGAAACTCACAATTCGGTGGACCAGAAGGAACTGAAGGACAGGTGTCCGTACTAAGGGTGAATATTAAAAGTCACATGCTTTTCATACAGAGCTTCTTCTAAGGGTTTGGCCCAGGCTCAGTGGGCCAGTACTTTACAGATCTCTCCCTAGAGTGAACAGCTGATGATGACGTTTCTGCCACTTACTCTGTCTCTGCCGTTAGTCTATTAGAGAAATCAAATGCCAAAACTGTGCATGAGAAAAGTATAGATGAATACTAATTTAATTTGCTTTTTAGGGATTATTAAAAGAATCATACCAAAATCTGGTCAATTAATTTCTGCTAATGTTGAAGATTTCTCTCAGAATATTTTAAAATGTGTCAATTAAAACACAAAGGATTACAAAGGTGACCAATCATATTTTGTCTGTTGTCTTCCCCCGTTGGATGTAAGCTTCTTGGGGGCAGGGACTATCTAGCACAGTGCCTGGCACATAGTAGGAGCTTAATAAATGTTTTACTGACTGACAGATATGATTATCAAGAATATTTTTAAAACAAGTTCACAGTCCTCAAGTTAAGAACCCCTGCTCTAGCAGGAAATAGGATTCCACATCGAGACACAAGTGCTATCAACTGTCACTGTCCAAGACCTGCTGGTCATATTACTGGAAGGAGACTGAGAGGGTGTCCAAGTTCCCCAGGACCACTGTGCTCCTTTCTGTCTTGGACACAGGAGCAGAGCCAAAATGAATGAGATCAGTCAGGTTCCAGGCCTCATCTCTGATCTCCCACTGCCATCCCTGCCTCCACAACAGAGGGCACTGAGCTTGCCCTGCAGAATTCTGATACCCTGCTGCCTCCAACTTGCAACGCGAACCCAAGACTTCCAGGGGACGGTGCTTTACTTCAAGGCTCACCCAGCATTCCCATGTACCAGCTTCCTAATTTGACAAAGCACAGAAATCACCACTGCCTGTCCTTCCTGCCTTCCCCTTTAAATATTTCGAACTCCACAAAGAAGCCACGATTTTGATCTCCCACCATGGCTTACGCACAGCTGCCTCCTTCCTTGGAGTTGCAGCTATGGATGGTGTAAAGCAGGTGACTGTCCAAGAAATCACAGAGAGCTCCCAAAGCTGACTGAGAGCCAGGCATACATTACAGATCACAGCTTACCTTGTGTGCCAATATAAGCGTTCTTCTGCTTATATCCATCCATGAAACTGGCATTGATGTAATCTGTCTGGAAAAGAAAGAAGAAAAAAAGAAAGAACACTCACTCATTCTCGCTGTGCATGGAAATATACAGGGCTGGAGATAGGAACAAACAGACTGAACAAACATAGCGCAGGCCCGACTGGTAGAATGGGAGAAGCTCAGGGCTGGACCTCAGGTCATCCAGTCTGAGCTCGCATGGAATGAAGTAAGTAATCTCCTCCACGTAACCTTGTCACTCCCTGAATTCTCTCCACTCAGTGAAGGAAGAGAAAGAGAAAAGGGGGCCAACTTAAAGCTGCCCAACCCTAGTGACTGACTTCCTGGCTCCACTTCTCTTCCAGGGACCTAGGTTCCACTGAGTTTGAGCAGGGGAATAGTAGGCCACTGTTAGCACACCATCTTAATATTCATAAATACAGAATGGGCGCATGGCAAAGAACACCTATCCACCAACAGACATCCAACCGTGCTAAACGCACAAAACATCAAAACTGGGAAAAGGAAGGGAAAGGAGGAGCAGGAAGGAACTGAACCAGAGGCTTCGAGTGTCTTCAGCCATCAAGAAGAAAGCGCAGCAAGCAAAGGAAAGAGTCTAAGACTCTCATCTCTGCCCATCGCCAGGCAAAAACTAAGCTGACTCTAATGCCCAGGCAAAAGCCCAGGAGGGCTACCCAAGGTCCTTCTACCACATGTGTTTCTGATGAAGCCCAATTACCCCAACATTGTCGTCCTTACTTCTACATAATTCCTGATTGTGTCCTCTCATACCTTTTACTCCAAAAGGGGAGAGTCCCTAAGGTCACAATGCTTAGGAACTTTGTATCCACCAGTCATGGAGGGCAGAAACAGGAAGAGGATGGAGAAGGATGGCATTACTACATAAGTATCATTTCAGTAATTCCTTTTTTTTTTTAGGCAACTGGGGTTAAGTGACTTGCCCAAGGTTACACAGCTAGTATGTGTCAAGTGTTTGGTCTGAGGCTGCATTTGAACTCAGGTCCTCCTGACTCCAGGGCCGGTGCTCTATCCACTGCGCCACCTAGTTGCCCCCATTTCAGTAATTTTAAGCCAGGAAAAAGCCTGACTTCAGCTGCACACCGTGGAGTTTAGGCTACACCTCCTCCCCTGTCCCTACAATCCATATAGGGGCCACCGCCCTCTAGGGATAGCAAAATGACCGGCTATAGTCGTCGGCACCCTCCTCATTGAGCTAATGATTACCCAGAGACTGGGCAGTCAGTCATCACCTTGTCAGAAGAACCTGCTAATACACCTGAATATAATATACCTACTCATCCCACTCCCCTCAGGACACACGCTCCCTCGACCCAAAGAAGTCATGAGCTGTCCAAATTCTGCCTGGTCTCTGACCCACCACTTTGAGAAGGCAGCCATAAACCTACCACCCTACAGCTGGGACAACGAAAAAGAGGGCAGATGTATGCATCACCTCTGCCTCAGCTACCCTCCCTCACACACACACACCCATTCTCCTCCCATGGAGAGCAGATCCATTACACCAGCACCAGCCTGGCATTCTTGAAGTATACATCTCTTTGGGGCACAAATGAATAGTCAGAATGACAATCAGGTCAGCCAGCAAAGAGGGGAGCCATGCAGGCACACAGCTGTCAGCTCTACTGTGTACACAAGATTTAAGAAATAATCTAGAGGTTTTCATGTTGCAAGATGAGACTCCACTTAGCAACCCTGACTTTTATATTATACCTCCGATCTAAGCAGGCCAGGTGTGGAATTTGGTGCCCTTGTGTTCTCTGAAGCTGAGAGCCCCTGGAAATCAGAAATGTTAACTGAGGAAGATTTTAGAATTGGTGCACAATGGGACACAGAAGAGTCAAATATTCCACCTGATTGATACTGGCCAGATCTGATGGAAACTTTGACTATGAGACTGAGATTCTAGGAGCAAAACTTGGGGGTCAGAGGACAATTTGTTAGCAAAAGACTTCTTGGGACCCAGTTAAACTACACCCTCTGCTCGTACTCCCTGCAATCAGAAGGACCAAATTCAGGAAACAATCTTCGGGCTAATAGCTAGAGGATGAGAGAAGGGCAAAGAGGCAGAGCGCGCTGAATGAATCCAGAGAAGGCAGAGACAGGTTCCAGAGCTCCCCACTGACATGCCTGGACAGCAGGCAGCTGGTCAGCTCAGCAGAGCTTCACATGCTCGGGCTGCTCTGAGTCACCTAACACTGGAGAAGCCGCTCGTTTCAAATCACAGCTCTGAACCACAGACGCGGAATCAGCTCAACGCCGTCCTTTGGAGATGAAGGTGATGTTACTGGCCTATTACTTTTCTGAGAGAAGTAATGAATTTGGACAGGGTGAGCCATGCTCTCATCCAGTCCCTCTGGTGAAGAAGGGCACCCATTTGCAAGTCAGATGGACAGAGCCGGGGGAAACATTTGTGGCTATGGCACAGAGCTCATCAGTCCAAACCGATGATCTCATGTAATTACCACCACGTTCTGGCTGTCCTCTAAGCCCATGGCGCTCCACTCTTCCTTTCCGGGAATCTCCAGCTTCCTTCAGAAAAGCAAAGTGTAGGAGGGAACAAGAGCGCTGGACTTGGAGAACAGAAAACCTGAGTTCTAATTCTGCCTCAGACATTGACTAGCTGTGTGACTGCAGGCTCATTCCCGTACCCACTTATTAGCCTCCATGTCCTCATCTGTAAAATGGGGACAACAACAGTGCCTGTCGCTTACTAGCTGTGCGACCCTGGGCAAGTCACTTAACCTAGCCCCGCCCCAAAATAAATAAACAATGTCACCCGTCACACAGGGTGAGATCACGTATGTATTTCTTGCTGTTCTCTCAGTGCCATTCACATGCACCTCTCTGTGACCTTGTGGATTATGTCCCTGAGATTTTTTTGGCGAAGATACTGGAGCGGTCTGCCCATTTCCTCCTCCAGTGTCCCTATTTTACAGATAAAGAACTGAGGCAAACAGGGGTTAAGTGATTTGCCCAGGGTCACACAACTGGCAAGTGTCTGAGGCCAGATCCAAACTCAGGACTTCCTGACTCCAGGGCTGGCACTCTATCCACTCTGCCTCCTAGCCACCCCCAACACAGGTACTGCGCTTCGCAAACCTTACAATGCTACAGAAACACTATCTATCATTATTATTAACTTTGATGAGGCCTTTCCTAAACCCCACCCCACCCCCAACTGTTAGGGCTCACTGCGCTTGGCCCCTCATAACTGGACACCTCTAGATCCAGCTCGGGGGGAACCGTAAATCCCCTGAGACGGTGTCCAGATTCACACAACCTGAAGTTAGAATGAAAAGAGCGAGCGTTCGGGGGGGGGGCACTAACAGGGACGTGGCTCTCTTTATTTTACAGACTATTTTGCATTTGCTTTATCTCAGCAGAACAGAAGCTTCTTGAGGGAAGGACATTTTATTTCTACCTGTGTATTCCTGATATTGAGTGCAGCCTGGCCCAAAGAAAATGAACTCTGTGCCAACCAAACCAGTCACACGTGCTATAGAGTAAAAGGGGAATTTACAGAATCATGCGCTGTCAATTAATAATAAGAGCATTTACACAGCACCTACCGTGTGCCAGGCCCTATGTTACGTGTTTTACAAACATCCTCAGAGGGAGGGGCTGTTGTGATCTCCATTTTACCGATGAGGACATGAAGGGAGACAGAGGTTAAACGGTGTGCCCATGGTCCCTCAGCTAGTAAGTGTCTGAAGTCAGACTGGAACACAGGACCCAGTGCTCTCTCCACTGTATCCCTTTACTTCTGTCCAAGCTGGAAGGGTTACTGAAGATTTATGACTCGATCCACTTGTTTGTCCTTCATTTCGAAGAGGACCGATGATATCAATGGGGAGATGTTTTGACTTTCGCGTGAACTGGATGTAAGCGAGGCAGTGTGGCACAAAGTCATCAATTTCATTCTTTCTTCCAGGGTCATTAAAATCCAGTGGCACAACAAAAGTCAGGATGACAGCGATGGGCTGGGATTCAGCGGATGACCTTGGTGCCTTCAACGTCCAACCAAGCTCCAAGCACTTCACGACATTGCTTCAGCCGCCTTCACAGCCGTCGAACAAACTGTTCTCATCTGCCCATTCCGCTGAGGGAAGTCTTCACATGCTTGGGGTGGACTCTCCCGTCAGCTACCCTCAACCTGGGTGAGCCCATTGGCTGAAACAGTTTTTACCAGGGTGTGGCCGCTGTGCATGCTACAGCTTCCTGGAGTCACAGGTGACAGTTTGGTGAAAGCTGACACCAAAGGTGGATGAGCAGCCCTGAAAAGGGCTCGACAAGCCCTCATACCAGAGGCGCTGGTCCTCCCGAACATCCCCCTGCCCTTTTCCTGATTATCTGATAGATGAAGCAGATGATGTTGAGAGAAGGAAACACTTGCTAACAGTCAAACATTTAAGAGCACAGCCCAATCTAGAACCCTGGCTTCCCAATTAAGTGCTCTCTGACGATGCTTCACTTTGAAGTGACCTACTCTTTCCCGCATTGTTTCTGAAAGCTAAGCTTTTATATGTTGTTTACCTGGGTGATACCACTCCCTTTGGTCAACTTCACTCGGGTTTGGTCGAGGCACGGCACGTCGCCATATCGGTTTTTCTCCAAGTTACCTGGTGACCTGGCGGAGAACAGACAAACAAAAGCCAATGTAAGGAGACTCAAAGACTATAAAAAGCCAGCTGTCAACAAATATTTTTTACTAACACAATCTCAAAGAGAATTCAGGTTCTTAGTCATTTAGAATGTATCCCCCCACCTATTTCCAGAAGGAATTTTAGGGAGCTTACAAAATTAAACATACACAAAATGAGATAATTAAAGGCAAAAACAGAAAACCAGTTGAAAGGACCAAATAAAAAGATGTTACCAGGTGCCTCTTACAACTGTACACAAGCCCCTTTACACAAAAGTAAAGCCCTGCTGTCTATCCCATAATCTCCAATGATTGAAAGGTTCCACCGTGTAAAGAAACTCCTGGATCCCTTCATGTGGGACAGAGATTGAAGTCTGTAAAGAGTCTATGTTCATGCAGTTCAAGTGAGGGTCATGTGAGTGCTTCACTAATAAAAGGAGACAGAGAGGAACGTCGATAAAATATTGGATGAGCTGTCTGGATTTGGATTCAGCTAATACCAAGCAATACTGCCTCCTGCCATCTTCCTCACCAAGGAAAAAGACAAGGCAGAGGGACCTTTTAACAGAGGACAACTGCAGAGTCACCCCCATAGGCAGAGCTCTCTGTGTCAGCAAAGGCCATGTCCTTTCCTATCAGCAGGGACAATTCCTTTACCAAAGAAAGTATGACACTCTCAGTCATGGGAGAGCCCCTGAAAAAGAACTAGGAGCAGGGGCACATTTGGGCACGACAGGGGCTGCTTCTGCGGCCAACGAGTAGCACCTCGGTAGCAGTGCCTGCGAGGCCTGGCCATCTCCCACTCACATGGAACAGTGGAAGGTGCCAACAGGGTTCTCTCGGCGAATGTCCTCGTACTCTTCGTAAATCCCCCTCTTCTGCCGGTGGCTGAAGTGTTCCAGCAGTTCCAAGATGGTCATGGCATGGGGACCCGGGATGTGCACTGAGTCGCTCTCCTCAGAGGGAGTGAGGGACAACAAGATAATTTCATCCAGAGGGTCCAGGTGGCCATTCACTTGAGGCAGGAACTGGAAGTTCCAGCTGGTGAGGTCCAACTTTATATATCCTCCCAGGCTTTCAGGAAGGCACTCCCGGGGCAAATGCTGGGTCAGCTCACTTGTCCTCATTATCTGAATCTGGATGGGCAGAAGCATGAGAAAGTAAGATAGACAAATAATGAATAAAGGAAGAATTCTACTTACAAGGGAACTGGGGAACAAAATGGGATTTACCTGACATACAGGGAACACAAGAAAAGGAAACAGGGTGGGATTCACCTGTCCTGGGCCAAGACCCTGTAACGTTTTCAGCCATGAGATCTGGCACGTTCATTACTCGTGCAATGTTGTGATAGGAGGGCAGCATTTCACTTCTTAAAGACAATCCTGAAAAGGGTCCTTCATCTCCCCAGCTTGCCCAGGCTGCCCTCAACAGTGCCCATCTATCAGCTGCACACAATGTGCACTGGCATATTTAGCCTTTTAAAGTTAAGAAGCATTTTGAGTCTTCGATTACTCTATAGGTGAGTGTCACAGGCACTATCTGTCTTCATTTCAGCAGCAAGTTGGCTGCCCAGGGTTACATGCAGTTAGGAAGTACTAGGGCCATTTCCGTCTCCTTTAAAACACAAGCAGCCTCTGAGGGGCCAGGCAACGCAGAACGACTGAGAAGCAGAAGGCTTCGGCTCATTTCTGAACCCTGCCACCGCCCTCCTAGACAACTTTGACCTTGACTCAATTTCTTCCCTGTATTTCGGTATGATGGACTATAAAACGGGAGCAAGTACTGCTCCTGCTCGTCCCGCGTCTAGTACACTTTTGATGCATCAAAAGCGAAGGAGGCCAGGTCTCTCAAAAGCCTTCTGAATCCCTCTCTGAGTCACTGGGTCTCGGAAACCTCTGCTCGCTAATTCTGGTACACTCGATCATCTCCTAAGGCAACAGCCCACCTTTGTGCAGACCTGAAGCTAAAAAGAAGTATTATTGGCCCTGGAGAGAAATGTACTAAATGGCTACCAGAGACGGAAAGTGGAGTTTCCTGTTTCCATGATCATTTCTCTTCAATTAAATCATTTTCATTAGATTTGGCTCAACACCCAAGGAGTGCAGAGCAGTGAGCGAAAAGCTGGGGCAAATGACCTGCACTAAGTCACCCTCTCGTGCCCTCAGACTTTCCTTAGTTTCCAGCTGAAGGGGCTCCACCCTCCAACACAGGTGCAGGCAGCCCTCCTTACCCTTTCACGGACTTTGTCTTTCAGTAGGATACTGATGATGGAATAGGGCACTCGGAACCACATGGGCGCCCCTACGATCAATACCTTCTTCAGTCGAGCTGGGAAGGCTCCCTGCGGGTGGTACACACATGAATCATGTGGAAATGCAAATCACTCCAATGAACAGGTAGAATGAGATGAAGCTCTGAACAACTTAAGCCCAGGATTCTGGCTTCTTACCAGTAGTAATCCAGAAAGCAAACAAACAAGCATTTATTAAGCATCTACTGTATGACGGACACTGTACTAGGCACTGGGGATGCAAAAATAAAGTGGAACAGGCACTGTGCTCAAAGAGCTCACTTTCTTAAAGGGCAGGCAAAATGTACATATTCAGATACACTCAAAACACACGGGAAGCAGATGCAACGTGATCTTGGAGAAGAAGGCGCTACTGGCTGGGGGGATCCCGAGAGGCTGAGGTGAGGCAGTATGGACAGCAGCCAACACAAAGGTGGACCACAGATGGAGGAGGCGCTAGTATAAGGAAGCCTGAAAGGCAGGAGGTAGCCAGGTCGTGAGGAGGAGCCCAACACAGCATTTTATATTTGATCCTAAAGGCAACAGGGAACCACTAGTTGATTTAGGGACTTAGAAAAAAACATCAGCAGTTCTGTGCAGGATGGATTGGAACATGGAGAGAGACTTGAGACCAGCTGGGAGGCTATGGCACTAGACGAGGTGAGAAACAATGAAGTCATGATCTAGACTGTGGCCATTTAAGGTGTGAGAAAGGGTCAGATGGGAGGGAGGCTGCAGAAGACAAGAAAGCATTTGACACAGACTGGATATGTGAGGTTTGTGAGAGGGATGAGCTGAGGAAGACACTGAGGGGCCAGACTTGGGTGACTGGAAGGATGCGGATGCCCACCACAGTAATGTGGACGATCAGAAGGAAGGTAGGTTTGTGAGGAAAAGAGGATGAATTCTGACTTGGACATTACTGAGTCTGAGATGCAAACAGAAGTCACCTGTAGAGAGATAATAACTGCAGCCAGGGAGGTGATGAGGCCACCAAGTGAGGGAGCATAACAAGAAACGAGGAGCGTGGAAGAAGTTTACAACTTAAGTTTCACTAGTACTAAAGAGAAAGTACCTGGAAGGGAATTAGAAACTGTAAATTGGTTTATTTTAAAGAAATAATTGTACATTCCTAGTGCCTCGTTCCCTATGTTCTAGGAATAGAAAAAAAGAATTCGAGGGTTCTTAATGTTTCTAGGTAGTTTATTGATCCAAACTAATTCTGATGTCCTTCATCAGCAGTTAGCCAACCCACAACACGAACAAGTTTGTGCCTTAGAAGATTTCTCTGCTCACCAACTGTCTTCTTTATTCCTATTACAGTAGAGTTAAAATTGGATTTAGAGCCAGTGTAGCCGACACTGGATACTGAATTTTATAACATTTTTTCCCCTTAAAAACTGAAAGAAAAAAATCTTCATCATGTTAGACTTTTCATATAATGAACATAACAATGAGCATCCACTTTAACAACTCAAAACACGTGTGCCAGGTTTTGGGGACACCAAAATGAAAAACCACACGCTCCCTGTCCGAGGGGACTTTACAACCAAACTAGAGGGTGGAGGGTGGTAGGAGGTGTTATTCAATATACACAGACATGTATGCTGGAAGGCAGAATGTGAAGAGACAAAGGAGAGGTCTAGAAAGAGGGCCACAATAGCTGGAGGACAGCGCCACCCTGTCAGCTGGTGGGCAGTGAGAGGGCGGAAGGTCATGGAGGAGGTGGAAGCATTTTCCATAGGAGGGGATGTGGAAGAAAAGTGTGTGTGCAAAGACACAGGATGGGGGGGGGGGAATGGGCCAAGCTGGCTGGAATATGGAGCATGGGCTAAAGGACAACCTGGACAAAAACGCCTGAAATAAGGCCACAGAGATAGGTTCAAGAACACTTCTGGATCTTGGTTCATGGCCCTCCTCTCCTTCTTTGCCTTCAAATCCCTCCCCATCCTTTAAACCCATCTCAAATACCACTTTCTATCTTAACCCTGAATCATAAACAATTCTCCCTCCTCAGACTTCACCTGGCATTTTATTTTGCAGCTCTCTACCCCATTCACCACGTTTGTTTCCTCTCCTCTCCACACCGCCCCCATGATATATGCTTGGTGGTGTTAGTAGAGCCAGCCAGGAAAGGGCTTTAAATACCAGACTCGGGGGTTTCTAGTCTTTCCTCTAGGTCAGTGGTCTCCAGAGTCTGCAGGCAGCATGATCCAAGGGTGTGCGACACACCAACCAGAGGGTGGGAAGATGGAGCACATCCCACTCTCCTTGAAGCAGCCAAACCAGGGTCTTGTGTCCAACACAACTACACCTACTCTCTGCCCATTCTACGCCAATGCCCACTCCGCCCCCTCCCACAGCACACAGCCTTTCATGGCTGAGTGAGCTCTCAACCTCTCCTCATCTCCGCCAGCCACTGGCCCTCCAACGCAGTTACATCCTCCTAAGCACCTTAACAGGGGACCTATATGGCCCCTTCTTCTCTGCACTCACGCAGTCACCACCACAGTCCAGACCCTTATGGACTCTAGCCTATTCTATCGTAACAGCCTCCTAAGTGGCTGGGAATGAGCAGGGGCAGGAACATCAGCGAATAACAGGGCAAGGCATTCGAGGGCAGAGTACATTGTTTAAATGACCTACGGAAGGGTCAAGAACCTGGATGGCGAGAAACAAGGCCAGAACCAGAGTGATGCGATGGGAGAACACGGAGAGATGGAGAGACCAGGGATTCTTCAGAGACCAAAGAGCACAGCAGAGAACAAAAGAAAATTTAGGAGGAAGCACAGAAAAGCAGGGTAGCTTTGAAAATAATGTATAGTATTTATTACATAGATTTTTTTTTAAAGTAAAGAGCCTGAAATGAAAATTTCTGGTTTTATATTGAATCCTCTCTTTATGTTCTGCTGTGTAGATGGAAATATTCTTTTTTCTCCTAGTTTTGTATTTAAGTTTAAAATGAATAAAAAAAAATTTTTTTTTAAAGTATATCTACCATAAAATAACTAAGAGTTTAACTACTCAGGCCCATAAATGCAACTACTTAATACTTTTTTTTTTACATAAACCCAAGAAGCCATAAATAACTGGAGAAAGCTATTCATTGCTCTTGGTTTGTTAATGCCAATATGACAAAAATTACAATAGTACTTAAATCAATATACAGACTCAACGCTGTAACAACTGAACTAACAAGGAGATGGCTTTATAGAACTAGACAAAGTCACAAAATTCATTTGGAAAAACAAAAGAATCTTAAGGGAAGTGAAAAAAGTAAGAATGGAAGAACAGTGAGAATTACCAAATTTCAAATCGCACAATAAAACATTAACCATCAAAATAATCTGGTATCAGCTAAAACACAGAAAAGTAGATTCACAGAACAGATTAAATAAACAAACCCCAGAAACAATCAAACATGGTAGCCCTGTGTTCAATAAAGCCAAGAATGCAGACTACTGGGAGAAGGGTTCCCTAATCCACAAAAATCATTGGGAAAAATAGAAAGCAGTTTGAATTGCAAAAGAGTATATGGCCTAAATATAAAGGTCAAATCATAAAAACATTAGAGAACACAAGGAAGAACTTTTCACAACCACGGCAAGAGAAAACTTCATAATCCAACAAGGGGCAGAAACAATCACAAAAGATGAGATCGTTTTGAATGCATAAAATAAAAAAGCTTCTCTGTTAACAAAGTCACAAGAGGTAGAACAGAAACTGTTGCCAGGGAGATGGGAAAAAAAAAACCTTTGCATCAAATGTGTCTGATGTTAACATAAAAATGTAAGACCAAGAGTTACAGCCCAAAAGGATAAGTGGTCAAAGGAGATGAACAGTTTTCAAAAGGATAATTAAAAACTATGAGCAACCTTACGGCACTAACAAGAATGAGGCGAATCTTTTCAAACTTCTGCGCTTTTATCAGTCACCCAACAAAGATGATAAAATAATAGAACGTCAATGGTGGAGGGGCTAGGGCAAACTGGCACATTGATTCAGTACTGGTGGAGCTGTAGTCTGGTCTAATTGTTGTGGAAAATATTTGGAATTAGGTAAGAAAAATTACTAAATTGTTCATACCCTTTGAGCCGGCAATCCTGTAACTGGGAACCTATGCTGAGAGGTCAGAGACTGAAAGAGAATCCCCACACAGACTGAAATATTCATAGGATACGTTTTTTGTGGCAGTAAAGAACTCGAATTCAAATGGGAAACTAGCCATTCAAGAATGGCTGAAAAAGTGGGGCACTGAGTGTAACAGAATGTTGTTGGGCAGTCAAACAACAAACATGAGAAGTTCAAAGAAACATGGGAAGACTTGTGGAAACTGATCAGCAGGAAGTGAGCAGAGCCGGGAGAACCACACATACAAACGCTTACAACAATATAAATGTACATAACTTAACTAAGAAGACTCTGAGTAATCTTAGTGGCCAGTCTTTGTCCTGGAGAAGAAACAGAGAAATACATCGCCCTCCTCTTAGCACAGAGGGGCAAGAGCGCGTCGCACACACTAGAGGCTCAACATGTTCACCACATGAGCTTATGTTGTTCAGCCTTTCTTGGTTTCAAATGAAATTCAATGTGGAGAGCTGGAGAGGCTCCATATTTGGAAATGACAAGCCGATATGCGGAAAAGGCATCTTTTTTTCACAGAAAACAGCTTAGCACAGGGCCTGGCTCATAGCAGGTGTTAGACAAATGCTTGTTTCCTTCTTCTCCTTCTTTCCTTCCATCATGTCCTATCAGGTTTCTCTTTGCATTTTCCACAGATCTGTGGATGGTTTATCACGTTTTCCTAGTTGTGATTTAGGTCTATTCCTCTTCTCTCAAAAACCAACTTCGCTTGGCATTATTACTTTGTATTATCTTAAATTCCCTTGAATCAGCTTCTACTATAGGCATAATACAATATAATATAATACAATATAATACAATATAATATAATATAATATAATATAATATAATATAATATAATATAATATAATATAATATAATATAATATAATATAATATAATATAATACAATGTAATATAATATAATACAATACAATGTAATATAATATAATACAATATAATACAACACAACACAACACAACACAACATAATATAATAATATAATATAATATAATATAATATAATATAATATAATATAATATAATATAATATAATAATATAATATAATATAATATAACATAATGTAATATAATACAATATAATGTAATACAATATAATGTAATACAATATAATGTAATACAATATAATGTAATACAATATAATGTAATATAATATGTATATCCAAAGAATTTTTCATTCTCAGGACCTCTTCAGCAGAGCCCTTCAGGGAGTCTCTTATCACCTTGGTCTATGTACTGCATTTGTTTATGGCTACCATAACAAAAGCCTCACCTCAGAAAATACAATTACTTGCTCACTAAGGAGAAATTCAACTCTTTGCTAAGTCCGCTAGGTGGAAGGCCCTGCACTAGGGGTAAGGAAGGAAAGTCAATTCGCCTGCTCCTTTAAAGCAAAAGGCTACAAAACTATGCCTGGCTCTTTTAAAAGCTATTCGTGTAAGCAAAGTCATAGTCCTTTGGGCTAGTTTTAAATGGGTCACTCTTAATAATGCTTAAATCTTGTTTCTGTGTAGTGGCGACCGTAATTATGAAGCTTATGTTGTATTTTAGATAGAAAACTAGAAATCTGAGACATTCACTACTAAAACTTCACAAGTCTACCTTTGTTCGTTTAGAAATGCAAAGTTTTAGGTCCTTATCCTAAAGTTGGAAACCCCCTATATTTATCACATTATGTGTTAAAAATCACAATAATTTAAATCAAACAGAAATCTGGAGCTAAGAATGTGTGAATAGCCTGGGCATGTAATTTTTTTTTCTTTCCCAACAACAGAGGAACTCTGGTGTTAACAAGATATAAAGTTGAAGGTGGGAAAACCATATTTCAAAATATATGGCCTCAAATCCATGCATTTCAAGTAAATCTCGCCCAAATACCAAACCCTCCTGTGAAATCTTGGAAATCTTGACTCTTATAACATCTTAAAGGCATCTTTTGGGACAAGGGGACAGTCACCTTGTTCATCTCTTCACCTTCATCCATCTACTTTGTCACAAAAGCTGTCTAGGGAAGGGATATCCACCCCACTCCTTGGTAATCCATAACAAAATGGAGGAGACAAGAGCCCACCTGCATTCTTAAGAGTTCCTTACCTTCAGAAGGTTTAGGACTTTCTTGCCAAGGTCTAGCTCGAAGTTGTTATAATTGGAACCCCCCATGTCGTAGATAAACACTAGTCCATTCCTTTGAGTTTCAAAACTGAAAGCCAACAAACAAACAAACAAAACACTGTTTATACGTGAGAAGATGGATGGACACACAGAAATGTGTGTCCAAAGTCGGACAGCCAAAGGGCAGTCCTGAAGTAGAATGGACTGCCCCACTCAGAAAGCCCCTTTCACTCAGTCTTCCGGGGAGGGTTGGTTGGCTGTTTGTTAGCGGTGATACAGAAGGCATTCCCGTCCAGGTTCAGCTTGGATCAGACCAGAGTACAGGACAGGTCTTGAACCAAAATGATCGTTTTCTTAGAGAGGATCATCACCAAGATTTACCTTTGGAATGCACTGTAATTGTGAGTTCAAGTCTGCCAAGCTGCCTCTGGAGATCACCGAATCATAGATCTAAAATGAGAAGTGACCTCAGAGGGTGCTCAGCCCTCACTCTGCAAAGGTCGATCGGGAGGCCTAAGGAGCTAAAGTGCTTTGCTGCGCTCCTGCCCCAGGAGCTCTTGTTCAGAGCCAACGCCCTTATCACTGTGTGTCCATCACGAGGCATCCAAGTAGTGCGACAAATAAAAAGCCAACCATGCTGGCAGTTGGAGATCCACCCCGGGGGACTTTTCATTTGTACAATGCATAGGAGGATCCTAATCCTAATTACTAACTTTGAAATAGAAGGCTAGGCTTCTTCCTGATCACACGGGCTTTCATCTTCTGATATCCAAATGGAAAGGGGGCAAACATACCAGCTGCCTATAGGCAGTACTCTAAAGTATATGAAGAAACGGAAGAGGCTTGTGAAAGGGACATATATTGGCAGAAAACTGAGATCTGCCACTTTCAGCTCTGAGAACGCTAACCAATGATGGTCCTTCAGTCCCTCCCGCACACACACCATTGACTGGCCAACCCAAACAGATCTACTACCAGGCTGGATTGCCTCTCCTGCACACCTGAGTCAAATCCAGAATTCCAACCTCAAAAGGAAGGCAGAAAGAGACATGGGCTCAAGTCCCATCATGCATGCTAGCCGTGTGATCTTAAGCAAATCACATGCTCTGGAACCTGCCTCCTCATTTACAAAATGAGGACTGAGGCTAAAGTCCTTTCCTGCTCTGACATTCTCTGATTTGTTAAGAGTTCCCTTGAATTTGTCTTTGTGAGTTGCCATATTTCCAGATTCTAGGAATATATTTTGCTTTATAGGTGTTCTCCAAAGTCATGCCAAGAGTCTGTATCTACTTATATTAAAAAAACAAAAAAACCAAACCCAAATGCCTCATGTCAGAGACCTCAGGGCCACTTTGCTTCATGAAAGTCATGTTCCTTTAATTGCTTTAACACAGTCCTAGAGAGAAACACACACAGCAGAAATAACACTTGAAAAATCTCCAATTCCCTAAGTACCTACAATACAAGTTTCTCTAAATGGTGTGGTTTCAAACTTCCTCTCTAGATCTTTACTACTTTTAAAATACACATACACACACACACACACACACACACACACACACACACACATGCATGCATGCTACAATCATAGGGGCTAAATTGATTTGGGGGATCGTTAGCAGAGTTCTTCAGAAGTCTAACTGAGCCTGGGTACTTTCCCTTTGTCTATATGCTGATATAGTTCCAAATTCAAAGTAACAGGAGTCTCCCTTTCAGTAAAACATCCTGGGGAGGGGGCAGCTAGGTGGCACAGTAGACAGAGCACTGGCCCTGAAGTCAGGAGGACCCCAGTTCAAATCTGACCTCAGACCAAACACTTGACACTTACTAGCTGTGTGACCTTGGGCAAGTCACTTAACCCCAAGTGGCTTAAAAAAAAAATCCTGGAATACAACAGGGAGGATGGAAACATACACAGGACTGGGAGAAAGCAGACAGTGTAAAATCTAGGCAAGGGTCCGTACTGCTCAAGCTAAACATTCTAGATCTGCCACAGCTAAGCTCTATGTAGAAAGATTAAATAAGTACAAATCCAATAGGATTTGATATCCGAATTATATTATGGGGATGCTTTCCATTCCCAGTAGAATAAACAATGATGTGACTTATGGTCTCTTAACTACAAGGCATGGAATTAGTAGTGTAAAGATGACCCTTCTCACTCTTCATTCACTCATCCATCTAACACACTGAGCCCTTCCTATCCTCATAGCCCTAGGTTAGACATTGAGGCCAATACAAAGATCTATAAAAAGAGGGAATTTATGACTTAGTTGCGGAAACCAGGCAGAGATAACAGATTAAATAATATCACAAAGAAATGTATGGCCAACTGAATGGTATATGCTTATAGGTATTGTAGGCTTTATAGATGTGGATAAATTTGAACTAGACCTTGAAGGGGGGATGGGATTTGGATATACAGTAAAAAGAGGAACTTTAAGTGAAGACAAGAAGTAAAAATGTATATGCCGTTTGGGGCGGCAGCGCACAAGCCCCTCAGGGTGGAAGGGAAGGGTTCATGAGGTGCTAAAGTTAAGTTGGGCAAACCGAAGCCAAATGAAAAAAGTCCCTGAATTCCGGGCAAAAGAATATTAACTTTATCCTATAGGTAATGAGCAGTCATTGAAGGTTTTAAAGCACAGAAATGACATAATGAAAACAGTATTTCAGAAAGATAAACAGGGTACACGGGGAAAACATAAGACTTGAGAGTGGGAAGGAAAGGGGCCCTGATTAGCTGGGTGACTTTAGACATGTCATTCTAACTTCTCTGGATCTCAGTTACCTAGCTGACCTGTAAATTCCATGATTCTATTAAATCAGTGAGATCATTAATAGCCATCTGGAAAATGAAGCTCTGGGTCATTACACAAAGGACCCCAACCCCCTGTGACAACCGTCACAAAATTCTCTAGCATATCTATGGGAAGAAGGGCAAAGCGTCCCTTCTAGGAGAGAAGTGTGCAGCAGAAGGCCTTCAAAAGAAACATACATTTTGAGAGCCTGCTTAGAAACCATTCAGGGAAGAAGAGCTGGAAAATTCCTGCTTGGAGAAAGAGAGTCTGGAAGCACAATGCCAACCCAGTAGCCACTTTTCAGGGAGGATGCTGTACTTGCAGTCCAAACCTCTGCCAATCAGAGAGAAACATCACCCTTCAAACAAGCCCTGAAAATCACCAGCAGGAAGGACAAGAGCAACTACTGAGCACCTACTGCGCACCAACCGCCAGGCACTGGGCTACGCCCTTCACAAACAGGCTCTCACTGGCACAGCCAAAATGTAGCCACCTCCCTCGTGTCCCTGGCAAATCACCCCCATCCCTCTAGTGGCCTTTCCAAGGTCACCAACGGCCATCAACGGCCAACAACAATGGGGCTGCACCCAGTGCTCCTCACTCGGGCAGTATTTAAGATACCTTCCTCCCTCAAAGTCAGTAATGCTACTCTTTTCTGGTTCCCTGTGGTTACTTCTCAGCCTCTTCTTCCCACCCTTTCAATGTTTTCTACCTGACCCCCACTGATAATCTTGTCTACCCCCATGCCTTTAACCAGCAAGTGCATCTCTATGTCTAAGCCTTCATCCTCTCTTCATCCTCTCAGACCCTCATTCCCAGCTGTATTTCACACTCAACATATCCCAAACTAAAGTAACCATCTGATGATCCCCCAAACCTGTCCCTCCTCCAACTTCCCCATTTCTGTCCCTGACAACCGTTCTCCAAGTAATCCAGACCCTAGCTCTCAAGGTCCTGTCCCGTCCTCTTCTCTCTCTCTCTCTTTTTTCTTTCCAGCCAAAGACAAGGGTTATTAAAACACTGTCACATTGGGCAGACTCTTAAGGAGTCTGAACATGGGTAAGCAATGGCTAGATTATAAGAATCCCAGCATCTTAATGGAGACAAGGTGGACCTTATATACAGAAAGACTGTGGAAGGGACCTAAGAGTGGCCAGTAAGCTGGGGTGAACAGAATTCCTGGGACCTGGACCTAATGGCCAAGGGAGAATGGAGCCTAGCTAGGATTAAGGATGGGAAAAGGTCTGGGGGCATAGGAAGGTAGGGGAGATTGGGTGTAACCACAATGAAAGACCAGTTGATGGGACTATAGCCTCAGGGAACGCCAGAGATTTGGCCATGTGGGAAAGTCCAGGGTTTTTCCTTTCTGGGGCCCAGATCCCCTCTCTCTCTCTCTCTCTCTCTCTCTCTTTCTCTCTGTCTCTGTCTCTCTCCCCACTCCCCATATCTGGTGTCACTAACTAGTGCCCACCACTCCTGGACACGCACCCTGTTCTACTACCATCACTCCAGTTCAGGCTCTCATTAATTCTCATCTGCAGCAATATAACAGCCTCTGAAATGATCCTTTCATCTAGTTTTAACATGTGCCAATCTGCTACCAGAACTACTTTCATAACAAACAGCTCTGGTCATACCATTCCCCCCCCAAAAAAACTTTTAATGGTGCTCACCATCTGCTAACTTAACTAAATTCCCAGCTCCTTAGGCTGGCATTCAAGACCCTCCACAATCTGGGCCTGATGGATCTGTGGCCTCATGCCCTTCATGAACCTTATCCTCCCACCAAAGAGGACCCCAATACGTCGCCCTTTGCTTCGCTACTTCCATCCCTTTGCTCACACTGTTCCTCCCACCTGAAAATGTAACATTCTTATAACCATCAAAATCCAACCCATCCTTTAAGGTCCTACTCAAATAACAACTCTTCCATCAAACCTTCCCTCATGTCTCCCTACCCCTACTCCAGTCAGAAGCGATCAGATTTTTCCCTCCTCTGAATGCCTAATTGAATTTTATTTGTACCTCTAATGAAACTGACTTCATTCTATGCTGTAGTTGAGAAAGGTCGTGCTTGTCTTCTTGACAGTATACCTGAAGGTCCTTGAAGGCACATAGTGAGTGGGGAAGGGAGAAGCAAAGACTAGACCATGACCTGAGCCTACACAGTCCTCAGCATCTCTGAACGTGACCACGTCTCAGCCCACTCAGCCACTCTGAACAGAAAGGGCCACGGGACACTGTTAACTGTTAAGCAATCACGAATGTACATTGAAGTTCTTGTACGTGCACATGCACACACATGGCATTCCTATCTCCTTTCCCCAACTACGAATTGCTTCTGAGTGGTTTTTTCATTTTCTTCCCAGTGCCAAGCACAGTGCCTGGCCCAATATGGGGATCTAACGCTAAACAGAATGGAATTTTTGAAATGGTCCCAAGAGACAAGCATCAGAATTGAGAAGACCTGGAATTTGCATCATCATAATTTAATGAACAGGGTGTCGAACTGGCTAACACGGAAGACAGAAAACATGACCAGCTGAAGAAAGAGACCTGTATCCTCACACTAATTCAATCACTGAATCCTCCACTAAGTTACCTCACCCATCTCTGAGGTCAATGAGAAGAGAAAACACTTTGGAAAAAAAAATTTAAGTACTGTACAAATGTAAGGTAGTATCAATGTCATTCAATCAACGAGGATATTTGACCTTCTGGCTAGTTCTCCAAAAGCAGAGTGTTTACCCATGGTTAACGTTGCCAAGGTGATGCCTATCCATGGTAGAGAAAGGGTGAGTTGTATGGAGGGCTGCCCGAGGTACAGGATGGGCAGAATCCTCTCTCTCTGTATAAACACCTCTGAATAAACAAAGGCAGGAGAATGGGGAACCAACACCTGTCTGCGTCTCCCTCCTCCCCTGTATTTAGAGCCTAAGAGGGCCAGGAAATTATCCAGGGGATGGGTTCTTAACCTAAGGTTTGTGAACTTGGTTTTTGGGGTTTGTTTTTATCATTCTAATAACTATATTTCAACATAATTAGTGTTCTCAGTATTCCTATGCATTTCACTCTGTGGTTTAAAGAACATGATTCTGAGAAGGGGCCCACAGACTTCCTTCTCCAGGCTGCCATCAAAGGGGCTTGTGACACAATAAAGGTTTTAAGAATGCTTAAAATAGGAAGGAACTGAAGCCCAGGAGTGACCTAAGGCAAGCTGGAAGTAAAACCCAGACTTCTTCAATCTCCATCTAGCACCCTCCCTACCAAAGAATGCTGTTGTAGGACCAGTTGATAATTAGAACTTTTAACAGAGCCTGGAGAGTAAAGACATGGAATCCATCCACATCAGTGGGTCCTAAGTTAAGACTCTGAGCAACTCTGAGGACAGACTGCACCATATCTTTCACAGTTCCTAGTACAAGACTGGACAGATAGAATGAAATCATCTCAAAAGTTAAAGGGACCTCAGAGACCACACATGAACAGGTAGCCCATCTACAAGAACCTCAAAAACTCCAGTGCTGGGAACTCACTGCTTCCCCAGACAGGTCTGCTCACTTCTGGACAGCTCTAAGCACTAGGAAAGTTTTCCTTAAGTTGAGCTAAAATCTGCCTCTCTGCTGAGAGTTCTAACTTCTCCGTCCAACAAATCAAGTCTAGGCTTTCGGATGTCTTACAACAGCGACTGCGGGCCCTGCAATCTTTCCTCGGTTCCTCTGACAAATCCTCAGATGCCACGGTGGTGAGTCCCCTTCACCATTCATACTGGGCAGACTCCTAGGTTTTTCTCCAGGATCTAATTCAATAATCCAGAAGTACTGTGACAAGCACAGAGTAAGAAGGGTCTAGAACCTCCTTGGTTCCGGACACTACTCTTCTATTATGGCACCTAAGGTTGCATGAGCTTTTACTGCTAACCCATCAAATCACTGACCCATGCTTGGTTTTCAGTTCTCAGAGATATCTTCCTTGCCCACCATGATGTCTTTCACACAAACTATTGCTTAGTTATGTCTCTCCCATTTTGTACCTCTACAGGTGATATTTTTTAGCCCAATTATAGGATTTTAAGTTTACCCTTATTAATTAACATCTTAGATTCAGCCCACTGTTCCTTTCCAGGTACATTACAGTTGCTAGTAAAGACTGAGAAGGAAATTCAATTAAGGACTTGCCAGCAACTAGCAGCAGCCAATAGATACAGACAGATTTCCCCAAGGGCTCACCTATCCATTGCTCTGTCCAGCAGGTAGAACAGAGCCTGGAGCACCACGTGCTGGGAGGACTTGTGAGGATGATGTAACTTAGCAGTAAAGAGGGCAATGGAGGCTCCAGAGGGATCCCGCGTGTTCTGGAAGGAAATGAGAAGAAATGCTAAGGAATCCAATCAGGGCACCACCAAAGTCATTATGAGGGCTCATTCTGAGAGATTCCAGCCAAACACCCTGCCTTGACCTGTGTCAACTTCTTCAGGAAGAAGGAAGACTATTTCGGGTGATATCCCTCCCGCAGGGGGGCAGGTCTCTCTGTCCTATGCTGCTCACCTGACGGACATTCCAGATGCCAGGGCTACAACGCCACAGCTTTTTCTGCCCATTTGCTTCTGCCTTTGACAGTGGTCACAGATCTGCTCTCACTAAGTCTCTTCCCCACCAGAGAACAGGAAAAAAAGAGCAACATGGTAGAATCACAGAGCAGGACCCACAGATTTGTATCAAGCTTGACAGCCCTCTCCCTGAGCTGGAAGACATCTCTTCTCAGAGGGGCAGGGCATGGCTAGCATAAGCTGCCTTAGAAAGACCGCCATTTAGCTTCATGGGAAAGCAGTGTCCCTAACAAGCAGCAAGTTCGAGTGGAGCGAAAAGAACCCACTCACTCTGGCAGCCACTCCACCCCCCGGAGTTCAGCCAGCAGGTTGAAGGGCTCCATTGTTCTCTCTCCTGTCTCCAGGTCAGGGCATCCTCAATGAATGGCATTCCCATTTGTGACAAAAAGAAGCCCATGTCTGATTGCATGGCAGCCTCATGGCAGCTTCTATCTCCACTGCTAAATCTAGACTCCGGACAAAAACTCAAGGCCCCAAACCACAAGGGCAGAGGCAGCTAGTGAGTCAGACACCCGTAACCCCAGCACTCACCAGGATAGTGAACTTCCCACTGAGGATTTCTGAACGGAGGGGGTCCTCATGAGGCCTCAGCTTGACAATTCCTTCTTTCCGTCGCATTTCCTAAAGAGGAAGCACAATCCACTAAGCACATCCAATAGTTAAATGTATTCAGAAGTATCTCCCTAGTAAGCTGCTTGTTAAATCCCCTTTCTGCTAGGCAACACTGATGAGCGGCCCAATGCCCTGAGATGAAGAGGCCTCGGCGGAACCAGCAAGAACCCTAGCACTCTACATTCTAAAGTACATGCGTTCAAGGCCATGGAAGGCTGGCAGAATCTTTTTTGCACTAATCTGTCCGAGGGACAATCGGAGGTGCTCTGGACCTCCCATGCCCAAAAATCCTTGGTCTCTATTACTAGGGGAATAGGCTGACCACTGAATCAGTATAAGCGCTCCCATGTCTCACGCCAATTCTGTGGCAAAAATCCCCCTGAATTCAGCAAACATTTTGGGTACCTCACCAGAATACTTTTCTAACCCCAAAGTGACAGACAGTCTCTATGTTTCCCTGAAGGGGATTTCCTTTGGAAATTTTTTTTTCGTGAGCTGAGAAACCAGACCTGAGAAGGGAGACTTTGCAAAAATGAAATAAAATTCCTTTTATTTTTTTTCCTGTAAATGGGATGGATCTATCAGCACCCCAGGGGCAAGGTCAGCATCTTCTAAAAACAGAGAGCAGTTAACTAAGACGCTGATGGAATGCTGTCATTTCAAGGTCAAGTCCGGGCAGTGCCAAGGCAAAGAATTGGACTAGAGCAGCTGTTCTCTCCTGGGGCAAGAATGCCTCCTTCTGATTCCCCATTAAGATCGGCTACTAACCTGACAGATGGCAGGTTTCTGAAAGGCCCCACTGCTGGAAGAGCTCCTAATAAGTCATGCAGGCAGAAGGTAGGTGAACCCACCCAAAAAGTCAGCAGGGAATAGCAGAACCCAAACTGAGAATGGTAGCCATCCGCCAGAAGAATGGAGACTTAGAGATGGTGCTGTTCAATGTCCTCGGTCCAAACCAGAGGCACCATCCTCCTAAACCCTCAAACAACCAAATGGCACAATCCCCTCTCCATAAAAGATACTCGGTCCTGCCATGCCTAAGCCAGAGCCACCCCACACCCAGTTCTGGAACAACCCAGCTCACCGGGTTCAAGTGAAACCCACAAGCACATACCCTGTAGGAGTGGAACAATTCAATAGCCCGGAGGACGTCAAACTTTCTGGCCATGAGGAACCTGACAGCCAGGTTCCAAGAGAGTGGAGATACATTGTACTGAACAGTCCACTTGTTAATCTCCTCCAGAAACTGCTTGGTGGCCTGTTTGACAAAGAAAGAGAACAAAGGACAAGTAGGAAAAAGGGAACACGTATGTTAAAAAAAAAAAAGGAAAAAACAAAAACAAACTCTAGTCTTCCTGGGTCCCAATCAGATAAGGAGGTGAGGAATTCAGGCCCCAAGGCTTCTGTTTGGAGATGGAGAAATCATAAAGATTGCAGCAGTCTGCTGCCTGCAAAAGAGGTAAAACTCAGGGCTGCTCGCCAGGCCACAAGCCAGAAGAAGGTTCGTGGGCTAAGGTGGGACCAATGGTGTATGGGGAAAGAATAAAGCTGGAGACCAAAAAGATGCAAATTATGGGCGGCTGGACCCTGAGGAGCCAGGACATGGGCACATTCCAACAGTCTCAGCTTCTCCTTTGGCCCTGGCCAGCCAATGAGAAAGGAGCCCCTGCTCTGAGAGTTACTGAGAATGGGAGGAAGGCTTCAAAGGCTAGTCCCTTCCCTTCCCTTTCTCAGTGACCCAATGAGACCTTGCTGTTGGGAAATCCACCGGCAGTGTGTCACACACTCACTCTCTCACTCTCTCTCTCTCTCTCACAGCACTGTGGCTTGATTGGGGGTGGGGGGCTAGTCCATCTTGGGGGAGGATTATAAGGTTCCATTTTCAGGGCCTGATTCCAATTCAACAGTAAACTTCTGAAGTGTCTACTATGTACACAAGGTAATCAGTTTACATGCGTCTAGAACTTTTCCTACGACTCAGTACAAAGTGCTTTTCTCATAGTATCCAGAGGAGGCACAAAATACAAGTATCACCCCCACACACATCACCTTTGTGGTGGGGTGGATAAATAGGGATGAGGCAGTTCCTCATTTGGAAAATATGGGGGTAAGGGGATCTTGAGGGCAAAGCCAAGAGTACTTTCCTTTTAGGATCACAGATTTAGAGCCGGAAGGAGCCTACTCTTTGGTCAGAGGATGAAGCTGAGGCAAAAAAGGTTAAACTGACTCTCCCAGCGCCAAACAGCCAGGAGGTATTCGAGGCAGGATCTGGACTGAGGTCTTACTGACCCCAAGTCCAGCCCTCTGTCCACTGTGCCACCTTGCTGCCGATAACAAGTGCCATCGAAGACCTGAATTGGAGAAGCCATGGGTTCCCTCTCATTGGAGGTCCTGAAGTGAAGGTTCAGCAACCTTGTCAGGGAACAAGCATTTATTGAGGGCCTACTAAGTGCCAGGCATCACACTAAACTATTCACAGATATTGTCTCATTGGAACCTCACAACAACCCTGGTAGATAGATGCTATCATTATCCCCATTTTATAATTGAGGAAACTGAGGCAGATGGAGATTAAATGACTTGCTCACATGTTTGAGATTAGATTTGAACTCAGGTCTTCCTTATCTCCAGGCCCAGTACTCTGAGCACTGTGGTGCCCACTGGCGGCATGATGTGCGGTTGAGTAGATTCTTTTTTAGGTATGAAGTGGACTAGTAGAGTCTTTCCATTCTGGGACAGTTAGTATTTTAAAAACTTTCTCCTTATTTTCTGTGCACCCATCAATGCCCCCTTCCACTTGGTGATGCCCTACAGTTTACCAGAGGTCCTCAAGGATGGGTTCTGTGCCATCTTCTGTCTTTGAACATCCAGGTCCTAGCACAGGGCCTCGCCCAAAGAACCTCACTGCATATTTCTTTTTTTTCCTCTGTTAAATAGTTTGAAATTAAAAAAAAATTTTTTATAAATGTTATTTATTTTTAGTTTTCAACATTCACTTCCACAAGATTTTGAGTTCCAAATTTTCTCCCCATCTCTCCCCTCCCCCCCCCAGACAATTTGATATGCACTCTATATATACATACATATTAAACCTATTTTTGCATCAGTCATGTTGTAAAGAAGAATTAGAATCAATGGGAGAAACCACATCATTGCACAGTTCTTAAGCCACCTTCATGTTTCGCCCCTTCTTCTCAGAAGGCAGCCCATTCCCTGCCAGCCAGTTGGCTGGGCATGTGGGACCACGGCACTGGGTGAGTCTGTCTGGTCCCCAGCTCTGGGCCCCTCTGCAGCAAGGCGGCTTCATTCCTATCTGATTGTCGGCACCCTTGTGGATGAGGTAGTGCTGAGGAAGGCTTCACAAGGAAGTCCCAACCCAAGCTGATGAGCTAAGGTGCAGACAGAGCCACAGAGATGCCAAGTGTCTGCCTGTCTGTCTCTCCAACTGCTGTTGAAGGGGAGGGGAAAGAGGCATGTGAAGGAGGGCAATGACCTTGAGTATTGGGAAGCTTTACTACCAGGGCACCTGAAGAGGTTCAGTGATATTAAATAAGAGTAATGAACTTCTGTTGACATCAAAGGTGGTTTTCTCCTCACAACCCTGTAAGAGAGACAGGGTAAGGACTCTTGCCCCTCTCTGAAAGATGAGGACACTCAGGCTCAGGTGACCTGGCTACTTGGGAGTCAGTCATAGAGCCATGACCTTTCCACCACACTCTGCCTCAAGCACGCACTCAAAGCCAACTGGGTTCACAGGAGAGCCGGCTGTAAAACACTTAAGTGTTCCTGACTGCTCTGTCCTGTCACCCTGGGGATTACTGCTGAGTAGCAATCTGGGAGGCTCTCAGCAGGAATGGAGGAGGAGAACCTGGTTTCAAGGAGGAGGCAGCCTGGACCCCAGAAGACTACAGAATCCAAGAGGCCAGCACAATGAGTTGGGCCAAAAAGCAGAAAGAGCCAAGAAAGAAAGGCCATCAGGAAAAGCTTTCAGACCCATCATCGGGCTGAGGACCAGCTAAGTCCAAAGAAGAGAAATGGATCTCAGAAAAGACAGCAGGGCTAAACCTTGGACACTCCTGGAGAAAATCATGTCTACCATAAGCACCAGAGTGAGGGCATGTGCTAAGAGGGGGAAAAGCCTTGATAGCAGCAGGAAGAAATAAAATCCCGGCTGGGCCAGAATTCCCCTCCTCGAAGTTCTTCACTTATCTAACAAAAACCCTATTCTGGGTGGGACCTTTTCTAAGGTTCTTGGAAGCTGCAGAAGAATAAGAAAGACCCAAGCAGGATCACATGGTGTCACAAGGGCTAGGGTGAGCCCTTTCAGCCCTGTAGGGCTAGGATTAGGCAAATCCCCAAAATAATAAATAAATATGCTGATGCATATGCAGGAGGGGGTCCCACCCTTTAGTCCTCCTCCAAAGTGAGCTGGGCCTGCCATCTTTTCCAAGGCAATTCGTCCTGGGGTCAGCACGTCCTGCAGCTCCACAGTGTGAGGGCCTCAAGCTGACCTCTGCCCCCCTGCTGGCCAGGATGTTATTCTTGGCTTGGAGCACGGGAACAATTCCTTCTGGTTAGGCTTGTCCGCCCAAGCCCCAAGAAGAGAGTCTGTTTTGTACTGTAAACAGCAGTTGGATATTTACAAGCACACAGACGCCACCTGCTCTGACCCAGCCTGACAGAAAGAACCTCAGGTTCTCTCTTGTGCTCCCCCTCCATATCCTCTTTGCCCCGGGGAGCACCCAGGGAAAAGTCTGAGCTCTGGGAAGGGACTAAGGCCAGTTACATCGTGATTAACAGGCCCAGCTTCATCGCATTATAGAAAGTGTTGGCCCCAAAGCCAGGAAGACCTGAGTTCAGATCCACACTTATTAGCTGTGAGATCCCAGGCAAGTCACTTAACAACTCTCTTGGCCTCAGTTTCCTCATCTGTAAAGCAGAGAGAATGATAGCACTTAACCCCCAGTCTTCTTGAAAGAATCAAACGAGCAAATATTCGCTTTGTAAAAAAACCTTAGAGTGCTCTATGTAAATGCTAGCTATTAGCACCCCAGTAAGATAGATGCTATTATTATCCTCATTTTACAGATGAGGCAAGCAGATAAAGTGACCTACCCAGGGTCACATATCTAGTTAAGTGTTTGAAGTGGGGGGGGTGGGGAGAGAGTATTCCTGACTGGCAGGCCAACTCTAATTGCGCACCTTCATTATTCCTTGTGTCTTCTCAACAAAGACGAACCAATCCCATTGAATATACCTGATTCCCAGCCTTATAGCCTCACTGGGCCATCACAAAGACCCATCCTAGCATTCAGTCTCTGATTTCTGAGGACTAGCCATATCACTGGGATTCCTGCAGCTAATGGTTACTGTGTTTCCTAGGAAGAAGCTTTTCCCCTCAGGGCAGTGGTTTACATCTAGTCCAGGCTTCTCAGTAATTCAGATGCTAACTGGGACACAATCCTTGGCAGCCACTCTCATAAATGCAGGAACTATCCCGCCGGAAACACTTACTGAATATCAGAGCGTAGGCACAGAGCTGAAGGGAAGCCTCAGGTCTGACAGTCCAACTCCTTGACTTTATAAATAAGGAAACTGACCCCTCAAAGTCAAGAGACTTGCCCAAGGTCATGCCAGCAGGGAGTGGCAGAGCCAAGATTTGAACTCGGCCTTTGGACTTGCAATTGGGTATCATTTTTAACTACATGATGCTGCTCCATCATCTGTACAAAGCAGAAATGACACATCAAAGTTCTTTGGTTACCTGACCAATAGAACGTCTCTGGGGCCCTGCAGTCAAGATAAAGTAGATAGATCCCTGCAAAGGGATTAATGCAGAGCACGGTTCCACATATGTAGGCATATGGTGACTTGCCAGTGGGCCAGGGAACTTGGGCCAGCTCTCAGGCTTGGCGGGGGGGGGGGGGGGGGTCCCACTAATTTGGGTGTCCTGAGCTCCCCAAAATAGAGGTGATGGATCTTCTGTAGGGAACCTACTCTCCAGCTAATAAGATAATTCCACCTTCGAGCCTGTCAGTCACCTAAGTTTTCATCTGCAATCAATTCACACTAGCCCCTCTTCTCTAAAATAGGCATTTTTCAACCATCTCACAGTTGTTGGTATAATCTGGCCTTGTTTTACCTCCATCAGACACTCTAGCCTGTTGAATAACACAGGCTTAAGTTCTGTCCTCCTAGGTCCCCATCTATGTGTGCTTATTTGCAAAATAAAACAACAAATATCCTGTTTGCTATTAGTTTGAGAACAGGTGAGCAGGTCCAGAAAAGAAAGACACCAGCCTCCCAAGAGAAAGAGGATGGACAGAAGGTGCAAAAAGAAACGCCCACTCTCTGACGAGGCCACTCTGGGAATGGTTTTGCTTTGACACAGTCATCCGCTACATGGTTTTTTTCTTTCTTTCTGGCAGTTAATTGGGTAGGGGTAAGGGTTAGCAACAGTGATGTTCCCCCAAAAGACGCCCATTTTGAAAATGCACAGAACTCTTCAGAAGAAAACACGGACGAGCAGTAGTTTTGAAAGTAAAGTGCAGATCAGATTTCTGGCTGTCTTGGGGATGGGGGAGGGTAGGGAGAAAAACCTGGAACTCTAAATCTTATGAAAAATGAATGTTGAAAACTACACGTAATTGGAAAAATAAAATACTATTCTCAATAAAAAAGAAAATAAAGTGTAGAATCTATTGTATTCTTTTTTTTAAATGAAATGGAGATTCAGTTTCATACAGAATCTTCTTTTTGCATGCTACTATGTCTACGGGAATGCTTTCTTTCTTTTTTGGTGTTTAAATTCAGAATAAAAAAAGTAAAAAGATAAACTAGGAAGAAGTTTAATAGACTTTTCATTTTGCTATATTAAGATGTGACATTTTTCTACTAGACCTTTGAACCATTATGGAAAAGATAAAAATAACCATACTGTGCATTCATATTTTGTCATTTATTTTTAGTAAGAGTTTATTTATTTTAAAATTTTTTTCAGTTATGTGTGACTTTGTCATTTCAAAAATTTGCTGGGTTTGTCATGTGCTTCCATTATGCCTAGGAGCCAAGTTGCTTACACACTTACACACACACACACACACACACACATACACACACACACACACACACACACACTGGAAGGAGGGAAAAGAAATGGGAAAGGATATTCAGTTATGCTCTGGAAATAATTTACTCTCTGGCAATTTGCCATAGTTATTAGCAGCATAAATTCCTTTCAAAGCAACTAAAGAGATGTGTGAATAGTGCTTAATTCCTCCACTTACTTCCAACACACAAGATTTAATTAAATAGCTCTACCTCTTCAACTGCTCTTACCAAGCCTTCAGTGAAAAGGGTTCAAGACATGCTCACATCTATAAGCCAAGAGAGGAGAAATTATGGAAGAAAACATCAATGTTCCTTTTTCAAAACTGGAAGGAGAGAAAAAGAAATATAAGGCATCAAACATTGCACAAGGCCCACAAAACTCCAAGTACAGCCTGGACAATGTGTTAATAAGAAAAGAAGTACAGAAACATGTGTGGTTTTCTAAATCAATGTATGACCTACAGGGATCCTTAGATACTGTTTGGTGGTACCTGATTTCTTTGAGTTTTGTACCAATGGTCTGATAGAGAAAACCGGGGTTTGAATCCTGCCTCAGACACTTAATGGCTGTGTGACCTTGGGCAAATCACTAAACTGCTCTATGCCACAGTTTCCTCATCTGTAAAATGGGGATGAAAATAATGGCATCTACCTCAGGGAGTTTTGAATCAAATGAGTTACCATATGGAGTATACACTGTACAGAATTCAGCTTGGACAACTTTTCAGGAATTGTTCCCTTTAGAGTGATACACATGAAATAAAGTTTTTCCCTAAAGCTGCCAAGGATTATTCAGAAATTGCAGGGTCCCTCTTATTACCATTCTATTCACTGTCCTCATGCCCCTTCTCTGCCTTGAAACTTTCTATCAGGATACAGAGAAGCAGAAGAATTGGGAGAAAACCCATGCATTTTGTCAAGAAAAACCAAGCCTTCCCAAATTGGGCCTTATTTTTAGGTAAGGTAGAGAACGCTACCAACCTTGCCACTGCAACACTACCACGGACAGCTATGAATGGGAAGGAATTCAGCATCACCAAAACAAGATTCAATCCAGACTCTAAGATTCCAAAAGCTAGACTTTGCCCTAGTGTGCCTGGACATGCAAGGACACCTCAAAGCTTCCACAGGAGGAGGAAGAAGAGGAAGAATAGGAGGAGGAGGAGGAGGAGGAAGAAGAAGAAGAAGAAGAAGAAGAAGAAGAAGAAGAAGAAGAAGAAGAAGAAGAAGAAGAAGAAGAAGAAGAAGACAGCATCTTTATTTAAGGTTTGCAAAGTACTTGACACATATTTTCACCTTTGGTTCCTGCAAACCGCCCTAAGAGGAAGGTTCCTGGAGTATTATTAACCCGGCTTAAGGGACTTGCCATACAGGTAGTGCAAGTCCACGTCAAGATTCTTATTCTGCAATTCTTGACTCACCCTTGTCAGGAAGGCCCCAATGTTAAGTGGAAAACTTTCCAAACCAAAGTTCACATTTCTGTGACTCAGGGCAAGTCAGTAACATCTCTTAGCCTCAGTTTCCTCATCTATAAAATGGGGATATTAATAACACCTACTTCATAAGGTTGTTGTGAGAATCACATATACAGTGCTTTGCAAACTGTAAAGCATATAAATGTTAGTTATTATTAACATGCTTTACAAATAAACAAAAAACTGCACTAGTATCATCCTAAGTGATAGTAATATAAAACAGAACTTTTAACAAAACTTTTTTCCTGTCCTTCCTATTATTTTTCTTAGGAAAAAAACTAAAAAAGACATACACATGCATTCTAAATTAAATAAGAAATTTTTAGTTCTAGCTAAACTTTGCATTTATAGAAACTATTATCATAACTACCATTTTCAGCTACTGTAGACTTTCTAAAAGCTTTTTTAAAAATAGAATACCGAGACTAAGCATGGACATTTTTATACTAAAAGGCTAATTTCTGGAAAACTTTGGCTAAATCTATCTGGCCATTTCAGAAGCTAAGCCAGATTAGAAAAATAATCATAGCTCCTGACCCCTTCCACCCCCTCCCCACCCTACCAAAAAAAAATCAGATTTACTTTTAGAATGAGGATAACTCAAAGAAAAGTTGGGAAAGATCTGCTACATTCTCCACAGAACTACAACAATTCCATAGCTCACCTGAGCCACACAGAATAACCTTGATTATCTAACCAATAACTGTTAAATCTCAGCGATCACTTGTCTATGTTCCTAGTTCACCTTCCACCACGGTCCACGCATCAACCATAACCACATCCTCTTAACTCTGAAACATAAATTTAGGAAAGCTGTGAATGATCCCTGAGATTGACTTCCTCATCATCATGAATAAAAACAAGTATTACATAGTCCTATTGAGTTCATTTCACTCAGGTCCAACTGATTCCTATGAAATTTTCCTGTTAGGGGGGTGTCCCTGTTCGTGACTTATTTGTTTTATTTCCTAAAACAAAAGACAAGTCAGTTTTACTTGACTTGTATCAGAATTCTGTTCTCTTTTACTTTCTATTCACACACACACACACACACACACACACACAACCGTAGAGGGAATGAAAATATTTTGATTTCTCCTTGGTTTATTTTGGGGACCTCTGTGACAAACATCTACACATTTACTCAACTCATAAATTCACATGGCCCAGTCGAAAACATACCAGCTTTCTAGTGACCCAGACATTCCCGACCTTTCTCCCCCTATATATGCTAAATGTCTAGGTCAGCCCTTTTCTAGACAATAAACCAACTGAAATTTGTTTTCCCAGTGGTAATTAACAAAATGCCCCATACTAGCCTTTAAACATATGTGAAAGCACTACCAATAGCTGAAAATTCATCCAGAATAGACCCTTTATGAAACCAGAACTCTATAAATAATTGTTGATTTGATTCGAAAACAACAATGGCCATTATTGTTTATAAATAAATAAATGTTTGTAAATAAAACAAGAATACTACTACACCTCCATGTTTAGCAACATATTTAGCAAGGAAGGAATGAGGAAGGACAGTCAGTGAGGAAAACACTCCTCAAACTCCGAGCCCACAGCCCAGTCCTCATAAAACCAGAAGGCAAGGACACTTCAAACCTGAAGCCCTTCAAAACTCCCATCGGGAACCTTCTGGCCAGATAACCACTAAGAAAAAGTGAACGAATAACCAAACCACAGCCGTTCTGAAATTAAGGAATTTTCCATCTATTGCATTAAGCATTGGGAAAGCGATAAAGGCGATGCTAAAGACGAGAGGGAAAAAAAAAAGCTAACCTCTAATACAGGATTAAAATCCCACTGGGAACCGGAAGAATTGGGAGTACAAAGCAAAGGCTGCCCAAGCCGGCCAGCTCAGCAGAGTCCAAAAGCCTGCAGCGCTAGAGAGGGCCCAGAGTTAATTGAGCCATTCAGCCGGGAAAGCTCCTCGGTGTTAATGACTTCCTACAGGAGGAAGTGAAGGACTGGGGCTTATCAGCACTCCACCAGCCATGGGGACCGGCCCAGCCAGTGAAGAGCACATCTGCACAGCCTGACGTCATCCTGTCCTGAGTGACCGCCGCCAACAAGCAGAAGAGGAGGGCAGTAACTGTTCCTGGCAAAACCAGCAGACACTCCCTTCGCCCAGGGCCAGCCGCACACCCCAAGTACAGCATTCCCATGATGGTTGCTGCTGCACATGGAAGGAATGTTTTGCTCTTCAGGACGCCCAGGACCTCGAAACACACTGAAGATACAAATGTTTCCCACTTCTATGCTTTCGCAATAGAAGCAATTGGGGGGAGATTTCTGAACAAGGACCTACAAATTATACAATGTATTTTTAAATACTTAACAAAACTGTAAAAAGTTCCAGCCTAACCCTTGACCCTCCAGAATCTAACTACATTTATCTGTCTCTGTCTCTGTCTCTCTGGCTCTGTCTCTCTCTTTCAGATCAGCAACTTGCCTGTAGATTCCACAACTGGAAAGTGTGTATGTAAAAGACAGCCTCAGGCTTTTGTCTGCTCCAGACCAAATGGATAAGTGCCTCTTTTCAGGAATACAGATCTTCTAATAAACCACATATACCACCCCACCTCCACCTCTGCCCCACCCCCTCCAGAAGGGAAAGGACTGGATCTAACCTTGCACATTCCTGGTTAACATAGTTCTTCAACTATTCAAAATCCACAAAAGACCATTTCCTAACCTATGAAGAGTTAGAATCTTGGCTCCTTTAAAGCTTCGTGACCCTTCTTCAATCACTGCAGTGCCCCATTTTTCAGTTCCAGTTAAGTAGCACCAACTGCTTCCTGGTGAGACCGAGCTCCGTCAACTTCTGCAGAAATGGGAGCTTCCCAGGAGACCAGCCTTGTCGATACAAGGACGTCTTCCTGTCGGAATCAGCACAGCCTGCATCGCATTCCATTCGATCTTTCCTCGGACAATAGGCAGTCTCTCTGGCCTGCAGTGGGCATCTTGAAAAATGTGCACTATCTCTTTTTTCTTTGCTGAGGCGATCAGGGTTAAGTGACTTGCCCAAGGTCACACATCTAGTAAGTGCTAAGTGTCTAATGCTAGATTTGAACTCAGGTCCTCCTGATTCCAAGGCCAGAGCTCTATTTACTGTGCCACCTAGCTGCCACTGCACTATCTCTTAAAGGCCAGATCTAATGGTCTTTTTTACCATCTTCATCCTCTCTGCTCTCTCTGCCTTGGGCACTTCAGAGCTTCTTTTTCTCCCTGGATATTCTTTTCTGAGTTTTCGAACTGCTCCTTTTCTGCCTCCTTTGCTGGCTCACCAGCCACATCACACCCTCTAACTGGATGTACCCTCGGCTCTGTCCTGGGCCCTCTTCTCTTCCTACACTTTCTCTCTTTGTGGCCTCATCAGTTCTCAAGGGTTTAATGATCATCACTGTGTAAGTGACTCACAAATCCAGCCCTAGTCTCTCCTTTGAGCTTAGATCTTGCATTCCAACTAACCACCCACTGAACATTTTAAATGAGATGTCCTGGAGACATTTCAAATGCAACATGTACAAAACAGAACTTACAATCCCCATCCCAAAACCCACTCTCATCCAAACTCCCTACTTTCTTTATTGAAAACATGAGTTTCTCTTTTTTTTCTTCTCTCTCTCTCCAGATAGTGACTGAAGGCACCACCATTTCCCCAGTGTCTACAGTTGATGTCCTGGCCATTATCCTTGACCATAATGGCCAGGACATCATCCTTGACCCCTCCCTCTCCCTCACCACCCATAACCCAGCCAGTGTAAATCTCGCCCTTTCTCCCTTCCCCACATCTCTCCTCTCTGACCCCTCCTCTCCACTCATACATCCACCATAGTTCAGGCCCTCCTCATCTCTTACCTACATCACTGCATCAGCCTTCTAACTGGTCTCCTTGTTTCAGGTCTCTCCCCACTCCAGTGCCTCTTTACCAGAGCTGCCAAAATGATTTTCCTCAATGGCAGATCTGTCCCTGTCACTACCAAACTCAATAAACTCTTATGGTTCCAAGTTGCCTCTGGGATCAAATATAAACTCTTCCATTTTGTTTTGAAAGCCCTTCAAAACCAGGCCCTCACCTATCTTTCCAGCCTCACTGTATGATTTCCCCTGGCCCCACAGCAATCCAGGCAAAATGGCCCTCTCTGACACTCTGATCTTCACCCCCATGCCTTTGCCTTGACTGCTTACTCCTCATGCCTGGAAATCACTTTATTCTCACCTGCACCTCAGAGTTCCTCGCCTCCTTCCAGGGCAGCCCAAGCAGCACCTTCTACATGAAGTCTTCCCTGATGACTACCGCACCCCCAACTACTCTCCCTCCCTTCCTATTTGATATTTATTTATATTTATTCTCTTCATATTGATTTGTATGTACTTCTATATGTAACTTGTGGGCTTCTCCATTAAAATGTAAGTTCCTCAAGAATAGAGGTTGCTTAACTATTTGAATTCCCAGCTCCAAGCACAGGGCTGACTTAACACAGAGTAGGCACTTTAAAATGCTTGTGAATTGACTGAAGGACAAAGACAGCAGCCCAGCTATGACAAGAACTGATATTTTGGAAAATCTAAGGAAAATATGATGACTTTTTTTTATTATTTTTCTAGATGTTTATGGAACAACTCTACAGAAATGTCCTTTGCTACCTAGATATCTAGACATCAATGGTAAGAAAAACAGCTCCTTGAAAACTTTCAGACTTGGAGTGTGGCCAGAAGACATTTGCTTGAGAAACAGAGCAAAGGCTGCTAGAAGTTCCCATGCATTTCAATCACGTACATTATATACATATACATATATATACATATATATACACCACCTGAGCAAATTCAATAGTTCTACTTCCTCACCAGGCACAAGATCATGTGGGTGCAGTTTGCTGTGGACTCAGAGCCTTCTGGAGAAGGTGAATTAGATGTTACCAGAAATATTTCTGAAAGATCATATTTATGAGACCTCAGGCCTTTCTCTGGGTGAAGTCTATTCAACACTATTTTCCTTAAACAATTTCCCCTCTGACTCAAGTTTCAAGACTTGGCAGAGATTAGAAAGGGCTTCCAAGCTCACACAAAAACGTGTTTAAAATAAAGTGGGTCCTGCAGAGACTAAGCTGTAGGAAAACGGTGATCTCACTGGAGGCATTAGGAGGCAGGTTCACCATCTAACCAGTTCCTACTTTTTGTCAGGAATCTGAAACATTAAGAGTAAAGCGTGACTGCTGGGAAGGGGCCCAGCTAAAGGATTAGCAAAGTTCTTTTTAGTTCTAGTATCCTCTTGAAGTAGAGTATGTTTTCTTTATTACAAACATGAGTTGTTTTTTTTCTCTCTTTTTTTTCAGGTAGAGATTGTGACTGAATGTTGGGCTAGAAAGGAATGCTGCAAGGCAACTTCTTTTGCCTGCATGGCTACTGAATTTTAAAGAGTCTGTAAATAAATTGCATTTTTCAGTTCTGTACAGAAACCCAAGCAAAAACTTTGAAAAAGGCCTTCTTTCCCTTTTGGTCACTGTAGAATAAATATCTTTCCAGGGAAGAATGGGCCCTCTCCTTTGGTGGGTGGCTCTAAAGCTAAGGAATTACTTGGAGGTGGTATTCACATGCCTAGAGAACTTTCTATCAGATGATATTTGAAGGAGCTAAGTAAGGGGTATACAACTGTCACCTTACAACTAGGTGGCATGGTGGATAGAGTGCTGGACTTGGAGGCAGGAAGACGTGCATTCAAATCCTATCTCAGACAAAGTATGTGACCCTGGGCAGGTCACTTAACTTCTGTTTGCCTCAATTTCCTTATCTGTAAAATGAGGATAATAATAGTACTTCTCTGACAGGGTTTTTGTGAGGATTAAATGAGAGATGTGTAAAGCCCACTAGGCATATAAATGCTCACTATTATTATCACCCACAGGTGAAGTATAGGCACATTTAATTTCATATATTAACCAGCTGGAATAAAAAGGCAAAGATAACTCATGCTATTATTACCATATAGAATGTAGAAGAGGGTCTGAGAACAAAACTTCTAGACCAAGTAAAATTTTAAACCATTACAGACACACAGTGAAATCCTTCCTTTTTTTTTCTTTTCTGAAATATATTTCTTCTGGCAGCACAATCCTATATCATGATTCTCATTATTTACTGTAATAAAAAAGAAACAGAGGAAGGCCTCCAAAGTGTTGTTGAGTGGCTGGTTTTTTTAATGGATAATTTATGGCAAGTCGAGGACCAGATTCACACAGGATGGGAAGGCATTACAATGTACACTGGCAAAAATCTCTAACTGGTGAAATCACTGATCCATGAGAAGTCCTGAATTAAGTATTGTAATTACAAGGGGTTTTAGTGATTTGGTTTAAATTATTCCTTCTAGCAGCCTATTAGGAAACAAATGAGCCCAGAGGCTTAGAGAAGTCGAGACAGAAATGCCCACAGCCCTAGGGGAAGTCAGCAATTCCTATATGTACCCACTGACTCATCACTACCATTTCCCACAAGACCCTGCGCTTCCCTTGGAAATGGTCCTTCTAAGAGTAAACACCCAGGATTTCCACTGGCTTTGGCTCCTCAACAAAGATCTTGGCACAAGGTGATCTATTTCTATTTAACATTATAGTATGTAGGCTGAAGCACTCTTTTCAATCAACCTCTTCATAATAGCTCACACTTATACAGTACTTTCCTCACAACCCAGGAAAGTCAGTAGCATAAGAACTGCTATCTTCAACTGCTTACTCTAAATCAAGAGTTCTTAACCTGGGGTCTATGAACTTGGTGTGCTATTAAAGATCTGGATAACTGTATTTCAATATAACTATCCTTTGTAACCCTATGTACTTTATGCATTTAAAAACATTATTTTGAGAAAGGGTCCATCATTATCATTAATAAGGGTCCATCCATCATTAATCAAAAATTATTTTGAAAAAGGCTTCACCAAACTGCCAAAGAAGTCCTTGACACTGAAA